TTTGTTTTGGTGCACTTGCAGAAAAGACCCCCTATTCCTAATGTTGTTGGCCCTCCTAAATTTGGTCCCTTCCCCCAAAGGTTCGGGGTCTCGTCATTGCTGATCATCATCTGTGGCGTTGAAGCTGAGGCGCGACGCTCCGCGAGTCGGGCCCCGTTGCCCTGTGGCGTGCTCGGGCGGTGCCACGCGCGCGCAAGGTGGCGACTGGCGTCAATGGCCCACCGATGGGAGCACTCGCCGCGCTCCGCGTGCACTGAATTCTTTCCCTGCAGCGCGCCAGCAGTAGGCCCTCCCATATCTTGGGCAGCGGTGTGCCCGCGCAGTGCCCCGAAGCGCGGCCGGTCTCAATTTTGCTCGCCGGCGCAAAGCAGGCCAATCGCGCATTGCTGGCGCCCCCTAAAGAGGCCGCTCAATGTTCGACATTGCTGCAGCAGTCCTCATGGGTGCGCGCGTGGGCCGCGTGGCCTGGCCTGTCGCGGCTGAGCAGGGCGATCTGCGCGAACGTCTTGTCGCCGCGCTGCGGGGTTGTTTGCGCGGCCCAGCGGCGACGCGCGAGTTCGGGCAGTGGGCGATCTGGCCCGCGCGAAAGTGAACGGATGCAATTCGGCGGGCGGAACATTCCGCCCCGAGTGCGTGGCGTAGTGCGTGCACGAGCGCGTCGTAGTCTTCCAAGCCGATGTCGGCTCGGCCTTCGGTGGTCTGCCCGCCATGGTGATGCATCGTCGTTTCCCTTGTTTTGGTTCCATCGCGCGGGGCGTGCCCCGTGTGGCGGGGTTCCTTGCCGCGCCCTTCGGCGCCGCGGCGTCCCGTGTGCGCGCGGGAAAGGGTCGGCGCGCTCCTTTCGCGCCTCGTGCGCCGCCTCTTGTTGGTGCCGATGTATCGCTCTGTCGCCGGAGTCTTGGGCGCCAAGCGCGCGGTCCGCGCCGGGCGCGCGCTCGTATGCATCGCGCGGCAAGTGCGATGCGCCCTGGGGCTTTTTGCGATCGCGGCGGGCGTGGCGGGCGTGCCGCGAGTTGTCGTGGGCCTGCAGGTCCGCGCGGGCCGCGGCGGCTTCTCGGGCGCTCCGTCGCCCGACAAAATCAATGAGTGAGGCGGTCGTATTGGCGGCGCACTCTCCGCGGGTGTATTGCGGTCGGGGGGCGCGGCGACATTGGCGGGCGCCTGGATGTGGGCATGCGTGGGCATGTTCCAACGCATTTGGCGTGCGCTCATCTGGCCCGCTCGCAGCAGTGCGGCGTAGTTGCGTCGGAGCAGCTGCGCGTCGCGCCCGGGCGGCTGGCCGAAGTTCTCGCGCTGGAAGTCTGCGAGGCCCGCGCGCGGGCGCCGGGCCAGCGCGAGGCGGCGCAGATTTTCGCCGACGCGCGCGGCGCGCCCCCCCTCGCAGCAGCAGCGCCCTGTCTCGACGGGCGCGCCGTCTATTCCATTCAGATCGGGGCCCGCCCGCGCACTTCTGGAGCCATTTCAAACCGAGAGGCGGTGCGCGGATTATCCACGTCCAGCGACGCGCTCGCGGGCAGGCGCGTGCTCCTCTGGTCAGATGGCGTTGGGGCCGAGGCTGCCGCGCGCAAGGGCGCCTCGAAATAATGTGGCTATGCGTGTCTTGGAAATTGGCCGTGGCTCCAGGCGGCGCATTTGAGCCGCCCGCCCCGCGATGGCCTGGTGCCCTCCGCGGGAACAGTGTTGGTTCCTCCAAGGGATGCGTCCGAGCGAGCCGTTCTGGGGTCCCGCGGCCTGGGCATCGCTATCGGCGGCGCGGGCGCCGCTGCGTCGCGCGCGAGCATTTGTCAGCCGACAGGTCGTCGCGCGCCATGTTGTGTTGCGTCGTGGCTGGTCGTGGCCCAGCGCGCGTGTGGCCTTGCAGATTGCGACATTTCCGCGTCGTGGTTGCGCGGGTCTTGCGTCGCGAACTAGGTCCGCGCGGACGCGACCAGTATGCGGCGGCCGAGGGTCTGCCTGGCGCGCGCTGCGCCTATTCGGCAGTGGCCGGGCACGCTGCAAGCGTGTGCGTTTTCTCGGAGAGGGCTGCCGGCTAAGGCGCGATGCTATGTGCTTCGGCGCATGCGCGGCGGCGGTCGCCGCCGCAAGCGCGTCGCGCCCATCCGCTCTCGCTGGGCCGAGTTCGAAGATTTCTTGTTCAGGGGCGCCGATCTGGATGGCGGCCAGAAGCGATGCATTCACGAGGCAGTCGTGCTCGCGACGAGCGAGCAGACTCACGCATGTCACGCCGCGCCCTGGCTGCGTCGCGCCCGCGTGCGCGCGCAGGAGGAAGCCCGCGTCTCGCGGCCTGCGCCGGGGCAGGCGCCGGCCGGCCGCTAGGGGCGTCGCCTGCGACGCTTTCCTCGAAGGGGGGATTGGGCGCAGGTCGCTCTCGCGCCGCAGTGCAGCGGGGGCCCCCGCGCGCGGCGCTTCGTTCTTCGTCGGCGGCTCGTCTGCCGGGGGGGCCCAGAGTGCGTTGCCGAGTGGCTGTCCTCGGCGCGCGTCGCGGTCTCCCTTGGCGCGTGCCCGCGCTGCGCCCTTCTTTCGAGAGCGGCGTGGCAGCGTAATTCGCGTTCGCGCGCGAGGCCTTGGCGTTGCGCGGTCGCGAGCTGCCGCCGCCCGACCGTCTGCCGACGGGTTGCTTGCGCGGTCGTGGCTATTTCGTTCCGACCAGACCTTTTTCAAGCATGTTGCGTTCGTCGCAAGCTGGCGTGCCAAATTTGCGGTCTTCCAGTAGATGGTATTTCGCGATGCGCCCCGTCGCCGCGCCGAATGCGCGATTCGCAGGCGCGGTGCTCTGCTGCCCAGGGCCCGTGTGTTCGCTCGGGAAGACGCAGTGTGCTGCGCAAGGCCGCCATCTTCACGTAGATGCTTCTGCTTTCGCACGCGTGTGTCTTGAGCCCCCCCTCGGGTGCCTCGGAGATTTCGTTCGACGACTTCCTTTTCAGCGAGGTGGAAGATGCTTCCTCAATTTTGTGCGACGGCCCCCTGCGCCTCAAATTGGCGCGTCGCTAGAACAACCAATTCGGTTCCGTGCTGCTGCGGGCGTGCCGGCGCGCTCGCTGCGCCGTGGCGTGCCCAGTCCGCGCGCTTGGCGCCCGTTTCGGTGCCGCTCCCCGTGTCCGAGATGTGCGGGCACCTTCGGGTGCGGGAGGTCGCTGGGGTAGTCGGCATTTGTGGTCTGCGCGCAACGCCATCGAACGCGCGCGCGCGCTTGAACTGCGTTTTGCGTGGGCACGAATTCTGCGCTCTCGTCTGGCCCGCGCGCGCGGGCTGCCTCCCGCTCTCCTGCGCCTCGCGGAGCGCGGTCCCCCGGGAGGGGCTCGAGCGCGCGCGGCGCGGCATTGCGGCGCGCGGTCCCGCGAAAAGGGCTCGCCCGCGTTGCTTGTGTCTTTGCGTCGCTGTGCTCGCTCCGCGCGGGCGCGCCGCGGGGGTCCCGCCTGGGCGGGTCGCGGCGCGCCTCGGGGTCGCGCGCGTTGCAGGCGTTGGGGCTTGCGTCCTGCCGTTGCGGACAGCGCGCGCGCTTTCGCCCCGCCTTCCCGCTTCTGGGGCACTTGCCTCTCTGGCGCCCCGCGCGTCGGTCCAGTCTGGTACCGCCAGTCTTGGGCGGCGCGGGGTGTGCCGCATCGCTTGTCTGGGGGGTGCTGGAGGTCGCTGGCGCAGTTGGAACTTGTTGTTTTGCGGGTCCCGAGCGGATCTCAGGCCTATCAGGGTATCAAGTCCACTTGGGATTCGAAAGGAGGCTCGACATTCCCCAGGTCCTCCCATTCCTTATGCGCCTGGATGCAGCTGGGGTTCCGACGGGGCTTCGTTCCTCATCCATGGCCCCACATGTCAGGCAAGGTTTTGACAGCACCACGCAGTGCAGGACAATGACCTGTAACCCAGGGGCTCACGCCCACATGGACCGTGCAAATCGTCACTCGTATTCAATATAGCAGGATTGGGCTGTCAGAGGGCAGAACATAGACCGTGTGCGTACGCGAACGCAGTTGTTTATGTAAGCTTTTCGTGGCCGGCCCCAGCCCCCAATCCCCGCAAAGAGGCTCATCCTAGGCCGCGGGCCACCTTCTTGCCACCTTGCTTGGATGAGGACCGAAGTGTTTGTTTGTATATATATATGTATACGTTTTTTTTTTTTTTTTTTTTTTTTTTTTTTTTTTTTTTTTTTTTTTTTTTTTTTTTTTTTTTTTTTTTTTTTTTTAATATATATATATATATATATATATATATATATATATATATATATATAAGTGTGCATGCATTCATGCATGGATGTATGCATGCATGTATGTACATTTGTATAGTTTATATAGGTTTGTATGTGTCTGTGTATGTATGAGTCTGTATATGTGTATGTGTATGTGCCTGTGAATGTGTATGTGTATATGTATGTATATATATATGTGTGTGTATGTGTATGTGTACTTGTATGTTTATGTATATGTATGTGTGTGTTTATGTGTATGTGTACGTGTGCGTGCACGTGTATGTATATGTGTAGGTGTATGTGTGTGTACATGTGTACGTTTATGTTTATGTTTACGTTTATGTGTATTTGTATGTGTATGCGTATGTGTATGTGTATGTGTATGTGTATGTGTATGTGTATGTGTGCATGCCTGCATGTATACATGCATGTGTGTATATTTGTATATATATACACGTATGCATGTCTGTATGCATGTATGTATGCATGTAGTAACGTATGCATGTTTGTATTAATGCATACATACATATATACATGTATGTATGCATGTATGTATGTATGTATGTATGTATGCATGTATGTATGTATGTATGTATATACGTATGTATGCATGTATGTATGTATGCATGTATGTATGTATGTATATATATATATATATATCATCTGTGTCATCCCGATCCATGCCAAGTTCTTTCGCCGTGCATTCCGTTCCCTCCCGCGTCTCCCCTCTGCCTTGCTCTACTTGACGTGACCTACAGGTATTGGCAGTACGGGCATGCTGGGGGGAGGAGGGGACCAAAATGATCTGGCCCAGAAGCGTTTGCCGAAGCGGCCCGGCCGAACGCGACGCCGGAGGAGAGGGCCTTAGAGGCGTGCGCCCCTCTTCCTTCTGCCTGCCTGTGCGCGCCCTTTTTTCTCTCCTTCTTCCTCTTTTTCTTCGTCCTTCCGCCGACCTCCCTCCGCCCTCTCTCGTGGCACTCCTCCGCGGGCCTTGTTGTTGGAGAGTCCTTACGGCCGGCTCCGCCGACCCTCAAGGGGCATCAGGGGGCCCCAGAAAGAGGCCGCCAGGGGGCCGAGGACCACGAAGGCAGGCCGACGATTATCCTAGAACGGCTTGAAGAACACCTCGAGACTGGAGCAGATACAGGACAACGTGCCACCTTTATCAAAGACGCCTACGGCGAACCACCGCCGCCCCCTGCCCTTTTGGACGCGCCGATGTGCCCGAACTTTGTGTCCAGAGCTTGGACAAATTGTCGGACCATGTGTTCCCCGAGGCGTTCTGGAAACGCTGGGGGGAACTCTTGGAGGATAAAGAAATAGAGAAAGAGGAAGAGGAAGAGATGGAGGAAGTCTTAAGATGATGATGAGGAGGAAGCCTCTTGGGAGCCTCCTCGCCGTCTTGGAGACCTTGGGGCCCCTTGGGCCGTCTTGGGCCATCTTAGAGCTATCTTGGGCCGTATTGGTGGGCTCCTGGCCCGTCTGACGCCGTTGGAAACTGTCTTGGGGGCCTCTCTGGGCCGACTTGGGGCCCTCTTGGGGTGCTCCAGGGCCGTCTTGGAGGCCATCTTGGGCGTCTTGGATGCCTCTTGGGCCGTCTTGGGACCCTCCTGGGGCTGTCTTGGGGGGCCCCTTGGGTCGTTCTGGGGCCATCTTGGAGGCCTCTTGGGCGATCTTGGGGTGATTTTTGGGGGCTCTTGGGCCCTCTCGGGCCGTCGGAAGGCCGAAAAGAAGCAAATGCCCTAAATTCTTCAAAAACCTAAGGAACATCTATGATTTTGGCCTCTTCGGGCCTTCCTGGAGGACCTCTTGGAGGCCTCTTGGGCCGTCTTGGAGGCCTCTTGGGCCGTCTGCCGTCATCTTGAGCCCGTCTTTGGCGAAACGCTAATTCTTATCATAAGGCGTCTTGGTCTATGATCCCCAATGTCGCGATTTTTGAGACTGTTCCGAGCGAAACTGCCGTTTTTGGAAACGTGGGTTGCGCAGCGGCGCGGTCTTCCGGGAGGCTGGCGGGACGGGCCGAAGCCCCAGGGCCGAGCTTTTGGAAAAAGAGCCGGAACCAAACCAGTAGGGTCTAGCACGCCGGGCACCCCTGTGGCAAGACCACGGGGCGGCGGATCTATTAGCCTTCGGCCCATCCCGCCACCGTGCCTGGGTGGTCGACCAGGGGCCTCGTGAATGCAGAAGGGTCTCTTCGGGGAGCCTTTCGGCGGGCTCCTGGTGGCCTCTTGTGTATGGAACGAGTTCGGCCCCTGGTTCCATCGCACACATTCGCTGGCCCCAGGCGCACGCGGCGGACGCAGGCGCGAGCAGTCGCCGCGCCGCCGCTTGGCTCGCGCGCGCCGCGGCGCGCCGCAGGCGATGTGGGCAGGCCCGCGCGCCCCCGCGCGCGGCCGCTGCCCGCCGCGGCCGCGCGCAGGTACCACAGGTTGGTGTGTGCCTGGGGCGCCGCCGCTCGCCTGCTCGCTGCGTGCTGCGTTGCCCTGCGGTGCTGCTTGCCGCCGCCTGCCTGCTCGTTGCGTGCTGCTTCGCCTTGCGCCGCCGCCTGCCCCTGCTTGCTGCTTCCGCGCGCGCGCGCCGGTCTTCGCCGCGCTGCCCTCCTGCCCCTCGTGCAGGTTCCCGCCCCCTTCCTCCCGCGCGCGGTGCCTCCGCCGTTGCCAGGTTCCTTCCTCCCTCTCCTCTCCCCCCGCAGGTGCCGATTCCCTCGTCGTTTTGCCGGGCGCGAAAAGATGCCAGGACGACTTCCCGTTACTCTGCTAGTGACTACGGGACCTAATTTAGGTCCAGTCTGCGTTTCGGCCTAACGAGGTCGTTGCAGGCGCGATTCGACGCCAACGCCGCATCCGAGCGCGGGCCGCGTGCGAACGACCGAAGGTGGTCAAATTAGACGCAGTTCGACGTCTACGCCGCAGCCGTCCGACGTTAGCGAGCGTACGACCGAACTAGGTCTGATTAGACGCAATTCGACGTCTACGCCGCATCCGAACGAGGATAGCGAGCGAACGACCGAAAGAGGTCAAATTAAGACGCAATTCGACGTCTACCCCGCATCCGACGAGGATAGCGAGCGAACGACCGGACTAGGTCCGATCAGACGCAATTCGACGTCTACGCCGCATCCGAACGAGGATAGCGAGCGAACGACCGAACGAGGTCAAACTAAGACGCAATTCGACGTCTACGCCGCATCCGAACGAGGATAGCGAGCGAACGACCGGACTAGGTCCGATTAGACGCAATTCGACGTCTACGCCGCGTCCGAACGAGGATAGCGAGCGACCGACCGAACGAGGTCAAACTAAGACGCAAATCGACGTCTACGCCGCACGTGTGGCGCGCGAGCGCACTTCCGAGCGGGGGCTGTTCCGACGCGATTCGACGTCTGCGCCCCCTTCCGTGCACGCTTAGCGTGCGTCATTTAGGTGGCCGAACGAGGCCCGCGTGTACGTGGTCGGCTTCGGTGCGCGAGCTGCAGCCGAACGCGGACAGAGTGCGCGCGAGCGCGTCATACGCGTTAACAGGCGGCGCCCGCTCGCACCCGTGGCGGATTTGCAAGCTTTTCTGTCTGGCGTCGACGCGCGCGCAAAGCGCGACGAGGAATACCTCCGCGACGTCATTGCAGCATTTCACGCGAATTCTGTCACGGCGAGCGCCGCGCGCTTTCTCGGTCCGTCTGTCGCGCACAGCGCGTGCCAGGTTGAACGAGACCTAGTCGGGCTCAACATTCATGAGAGTTCGTTCGACAAGGGCGGCCTCAACGGTGGGGAGGTAGCCTTCCTCGACCGTGCCGTCAAGCGTGCCGCAGAGGACGCCGCCAGGGCCGAGGCGGGGCGCATGGCCGCCGCCCGCGGCGACGACGGGGCGGCGCGGGGGTCGAATGACCCTGTCGCTGCGCTAGTGGACGCACTCGCGCGCAAGCCGACTGCGGCCGCGCACGTCGACATCGGCGCGAAGCTGGGCGGTGTCCGCCTCAGCGATTCGCCGTCTGCTTGCTGGCCGTCGCCGGCGTCGCGCGACTGGCTCGACGGCCAGGCGCCCGCGCGCTCGCGGTGTATCGCTCAGCGTTCGCACGCGGCGCAGGTCAGAGCGGCCCGAGCGAAGGGGATCGCGAGACCGTTCATTTACAGAGATTTGAAGAAGTCGCTGCCACGCTGGGCGGTGGAGAAGCGCGGCGGTCAGGACGGCGCAGACGCGAACAAAGAAGGCGCGCTCGTTCGGCGCGCGCATTCTGGGCGGAGCCGCCGCCTCGCGAGGGCTGTCGCTCATGCCCTGGTCGGTCGCGTTCGACAGGTGGGCCCTGGCCGCGAGCTTCGCGGGCCAGATTGAACTGGCCGCCGCGATGGCGCACAAGGGCGTCGTCATGCAGATCGCACTGCAGGCGAACTCCCTTCCCTGGTCTCGCGGCCGAGGCCGGCCGCCGCCCGCGCGCGTTGCGGGCGGGCGCGCGGGGTGCACAAGTCCACAGCCCTGGCGGTCATCTATGACGAGCTGGCCAGGCGGGAGTGGGCCGATCGCGCCAGTGGCTCCAGCTCCTTTAACGTCGACCGCGACGCGCTGCAGCAAGAGCAGAGCCTGTACATGCGCGCCGAGCGCGAGTGCACGGCTCGCGGGCGTCCCAACCTCTCCGATCGGCAGCAGAAGGGCAGCAGCAAGGGCGCTCCACATGCGGAGTCCAAGGGGAAAGGCAAGGGCAAGTCCCAGCATGCCGAGAGCGACAAGGGCTGGGGCAAGTCCTGGGAGCCCAAGAGCTGGGGCAAGTCCTGGGAATCGCGGGCCCACGCGAAGGGCAAAGGCAAGCACGACGCAGCGCGGGGCACAGAGCAGCCGCGCACGCCGAAGCGCAAGCGCGAGGATTGAGGCGCGAGCACCGTCGCGCGGCCGGCAGCGCGCGCTCGCGCGCGGAAAGCGCGCCCAGGCTTGGCGGAGCGCGAGAGCGCGGGCATGCCCGCGCCGAATTTGCCAGATGGCAGGTCTCTCTCTGCATCACAGGCGCGGCGCGCTTCCGTCGCGCGCGGGCGTCCCGAACCCTTGGGGGCCGTCGGCCGGCAGGCGCGGGCGCCAGTGGCGGCCTCTGGGGCAATGTGCCCGTCGGAAGACCGGAGCGCGCCAGTACCTGACGGGCGGAACGCTGCAAGCAGTGCCGCGGCGGCCTCGCGGCTCCCGCTTTTTGAAGAATTGGCGTCCAGCGCCGAGGCGGAGAGCGCGGCCGCGATGCCCCGCGCCTTCCGCGCGCCAGCGCCGCAGCGTCGCTGGGGGAAGGCAAGGCAAATATCGACTTTGTCATTGATGCCGCGTCGAAGGGCACGGCGTGGTTTCAAGACGCCGCGCCCCTGCGCGACGATCTCCGCGCCTGTGTCGACTACGCAAAGTCGCGCAGTTGCCAGCAGGCGCGACAGTCGCAACTCGCGCGCGCCACCCCGCACGCGCCGCGCGGCAGATCTTCAGCGAAAGGGGGGCCGCGATTGCAGCCATAGAGGCGCGCTGCCGCGAGTCGAGACGTTCGGGGGCCCAGCGGGCCTGGCTGGGCGGCGTGGACGCGGCGGCCAGAGCCGCAGTCTCCGAGGTCGACGGCCCGACCCTAGGCGCCATCGCGACCGAGATCGGTTGGGCCGACGACGTTGAGCGCCTATTCCGCGAAGGGGCGCCGTTCGTGGGCGCGCTGCCAGCCTCCGGCGTCGCCGAGCGTCGCGTGGCCCGCGAAGAGCGCGAGCCCGTCAGCGATCTAATGGGCCGCGCGGAAGCGCAGAATGCGGCGATCATTGCTAGTCTCCGCGACGACGCTCGCGCTGCCGAATTGCATGCTGGGGCAGTGGCGGACGCCGCACTCGGGCGAGCCTGTCGACGATTTGGCACTGCGCGATCAGATTT